AAGATAATATGACATTAAAATAAATGTATATGGGCCGGGCGCGGTGGCTCACGCCTGTAATCCTAGCACTCTGGGAGGCCGAGGCGGGCTGGATCTGTTTGAGCTCAGGAGTTCAAGACCACCCTGAGCAAGAGCGAGACCCCGTCTCTACTAAAAAAAAACAGAAAGAAATTATCTGGACAACTAAAACTATACAGAAAAAATTAGCCGGGCATGGTGGCACATGCCTGTAGTCCCAGCTACTCGGGAGGCTGAGGCAGTAGGATCACTTGAGCCCAGGAGTTTGAGGTTGCTGTGAGCTAGGCTGATGCCAGGGCACTCACTCTAGCCAGGGCAACAGAGTGAGACTCTGTCTCAAAAAAAAATAAGTAAATAAATGTATATGAAAATTCAACAGATTGTTTTGTGCATGACTACTTTTGAAGACCACTGATCTTGATTGTCATCATAACCTTCTAATTGGCTAATGGTCTTCTTCCTTCTGAAAAACATCCTCCGTGATGTTAGATAGAGTACTCTTTCTCAAGTGCAGATCTGATCATGTGGTACCTCACCAACTTCAGAATAAAATCCAAGCTCAGCTTGTCATACAAGGCTTTTCATCACATATCCCTGCATGTCTCTCTCTAGCTTCAACCCTCACCATGCACCATATGTTTATCAATCCATACCATACTACTTAGAATTTTCCCCAGCAGATCATCCTTTACTTATGCTTTTTCCTTTACCCAAAATGCTGTCTCTCTGCTTCTGCAACAGATTAGTCAGTAGTAAGTTTTCATTCCAGAGCGTGCCCTTTCTTAGCTTTTAACACACTACAGTAATTTTTTTCATTTTCTTATCTTCCTCAGTAAACTGTTAGATCCTCCAGGGAGAAATTGTATATTCCCAGTGTCTAGGCAGATTATAGGTTTTTGGTAAATGTTTATTAAAAGAAAGTGTTCATGAATATCTTTTTGAAACAATTAATGAGTATGTTTCTTCTCATTCAACCTGCTTTTCTATAGTCATTGATATTCATCATGAAAAAGTTGCTAATTTTCTTTTATTGTTTTTGTTTTACTGCAAGTATTATGATGATGAAAAATGATTATATTTCTTGTTTTTGCTATTCCTTGAGCTTAAATAAATCTTATTTTTATTTCTTTTAATTAAATCTTAATATTTTATATCCTTAATTAATCTTAATAAATTCTGGAATCATTTTTCCTTTTTTTAATCCACCCATCTAGAAACTGAAAAATCTTGGTATAATCTTTTAATGAAAGACTTCACAATATTATTTTTTTATTATTAATCCTTTTTTTTTCTTTGATACTACATTAGTAAACTAACTGGGTCTTTTAGGGCAACCTGGGAACCTTAATACCCTTTCTTTGATTTCTTTTTTTCCTTTTTTTTGAAACAGGGTCTCACTCTGTTGCCCAGGCTAGAATGCAGTGGCACAATCACAGCTCACTACAGTCTCTACCTCCTGGGCTTAAGGATCCTCTTGGCTCAGCCTCCCTAGTAGCTAGGACTACAGGCATGTACCACCACACCCATCTAATTTTTTTTATTTTTTGTCGGGATGGGGTCTCAACTATGTTGCCCAGGCTGGTCTTGTACTCCTGTCCTCAAGCAGTTCTCCCACCTGGGCCTCCCAAAGTACTGGGATTACAGGTGTGAGCTACCACACCCAGCCCCATTTCTGATATATCTGTGAGGAATGTGGTTCTACTATCCTTACAGCTGACTTAGAAGTGAATTTTTAAAACATGTTCCCTTTATGTTGGAGACCAGTTGTACCACATCATCTTCACAGTATAACATCACAGTATAGCATCATAAATGACATCGGCATTCATAGTAATAATAGTCACAGTCCTTCCCGTCAGCATCAGTTCCTAGATTTTTTTTCTCAATAAAATTGTACTATAAGCTAGTAATCAGAGTACTGTAGAGCACATTTATGAGCAAATAAGATACCTGCCTTCTATTTAGAATTGATTTTCCTCACTCAGAGTCCCCTAATCAAAATCAGGGAAATTCTTCTTAGAGGAAAATAATCCTGGTGTTAAAGCTTAAGCACTAGCATACCAAGAATTTCTTGAATCAGTATTTTATAACATATGATATTTTTATTGATAAGTGGTATCACCATATCTGCATAAGAACATTATGCATCTCCTAAACAAAATGAAAAGCACCCAAGCCAAATGAACAATTTAATATTATTAAATTTGATGTCCTAAAGTTATTATCTTCTTCAGAATGTTGGTAATGTATGACTTTTGTATCTCATTTTTTTTTTTTGCATCTCTTTATCTTCCATTCCATACCATCAAAGTTATTATCTTCTTCAGAATGTTGGTAATGTATGACTTTTGTATCTCCTTTTTTTTTTTTTTGCATCTCTTTATCTTCCATTCCATACCATCTGTAACTTTATTTCTGTGTAATTACATTTTATTGTGTTTATTGTCCTACACTGAGTATTACAAAAATATGATCTACACCCTCAACATACATTTATTGAGAAATTACTATGTTAAAAGACCTAATACTAAGTTCTATGGGAGAGAAAAAATGAAAAAATTTACACCTAACATAATATGAAGGGGGAGAGAAAAAGAGTTAAAACATGAATGAAGGTTTTTTATTTATTTATTTTTTTTTGAGACAGAGTCTCACTCTGTTGCCCTGGCTAGAGTGAGTGCCCTGGCATCAGCCTAGCTCACAGCAACCTCAAACTCCTGGGCTCAAGTGATCCTACTGCCTCAGCCTCCCGAGTAGCTGGGACTACAGGCATGTGCCACCATGCCCGGCTAATTTTTTCTGTATAGTTTTAGTTGTCCAGATAATTTCTTTCTGTTTTTTTTTAGTAGAGACGGGGTCTCGCTCTTGCTCAGGCTGGTCTTGAACTCCTGAGCTCAAACAATCCACCCGCCTCGGCCTCCCAGAGTGCTAGGATTACAGGCATGAGCCACCGCGCCCGTCCTGAATGAAGGTTTTTAAAACCTAATTTCAGAGCTAATGATATAAAATACCGGTTTGCAAACATGTACTATAATCAACAGATTTAAAATGCAAGTACTGTAACACAATTAACATTAAGACTTATTCTATTTGTAGAGATATCGTTATTTTAGGGTCATATTAGAAAATCTTGGTATATTTATAATGGAAAATGAATAATACAATGTCCATAAACTTGTAAACACCTTAAAAATTTATAAAGAAAGAAGTAGATCAGTGGTTCATTAAGGCTGAGTTTGGGGGCATAGGAGAAAGTTGAGGGGTTGGGAGGATGAGGAGTGACTGCTGATGGGCACAAAGTTTCTTTTTAGGGTAATGAAGATATTCTAAAATTAGATTATAGTAATAGTTGCACAACTTTAAATATGCTAAAAAAAAAAAACCATTGAATTGTACACTTAGGTGGGTGGACTTTATGGTATGTAAGTTGTCTATCAGGAAAATTATTTCAGTAAAGCTGTTTTTTACAAAAAGAATGGTTTTCCAAATATGGGGATTGTGGGTCAGCTGATTATTAAGGCAAAATTTTATGCCAGTTGAAAGGAGAGAATCTTAGATCTAATCAAGCCACTCAATTCACTCTGTAAATTTTTACCAGAACTCATAGTTTTCGTATGGAATAACAAGTTCTTAGAAATATTAATAGATGTGTAGGATGTTATTTAATATTATTTCAGAGTTTTATCTGCATGCTTTTATCTGATGTTAGGAAATAATACAATAGAATTGTTTCCTATAATTTTATTTAGAGCAAAGATATCTTACTGCTTGTCATTTGTAGAATATCCTGTCTTCTTAGATCCCATGGATTACATAATTCATAGATTAAGTTAATAGGTTAACTAACATAGAACATGAAAATATGATAAGTATAAAAATTTTAAGTTACTGGAAATACAGAGAGGGTCTTTGGAGCAACATGTCTTCTCAACATTATTAGCATTTCTTCAAAGAATTATGGCACTTTTTCCCTTAATAGTTAGAAGGAATGATTTTACATTACAGCTGAAGCATTTTTTTTTTTTCTTAAAATGGTTTCTTAACACTAGAATTGGTCTGCGAGGCCAAGGCGGGAAGATCGCTTGAGCTCAGGAGTTTGAGACCAGCTTAAGCAAGAGTGAGACCCCATCTCTACTAAAAATAGAAAAAATTAGCCGGGCATGGTGGTGTGCACCTGTAGTCCCAGCAACTCGGGAGGCTGAGGCAGGAGGATCACTTGAGCCCAGGAGTCTGAGGTTGCTGTGAGCTAGGCTGATGCCATGGCACTCTAGCCCGGGCAACAGAGCAAAGTTCTGTCTCTAAAAAAAATAAAATAAAAAGTAGAATTGGAACATTTCATATTTAATGTGATTTTAAATATTAAAGTTCTGTGCAATAAGCTGTATTAAATGCAGATCATCAGAGGGAGTGATTTCTTTTAGTACAGAATCTTTGCCTTTACTATAGGCATTCTCCAAGCTTTATATATCTTTGCCATCTCCAGTTTCAATAGAGAGCCTATTCAGTTTTGCTTTGTATTATAAAATGCATTATGTTGTTTGATGTAAACTCTGATGCTTCTCAAAGTGCACACTTATCATAGTTCACAATAGTTCAACTAATTTCCTGATTTTTTTATAATTGGGAAATTTTTATAAAAGTAATGACAAGCTGTAAATTACTATCTTTTGATCTTTTCAAACAAGTACCATAATGTAACTCTCTACTTTTATAGCAAGGGCTAAAAACCATTACTGCAGTAATCAATATATCACAGTTATGTTATGGAAATTTTAATGTTACTTTCAAAATTCTGAGTTGTTGGGGTATTGGTCTTCCACTGTTGGTACCTGAAAAATATTATTTGACTCCATATTTTTTCCGTTAATATTTAAGTATTTTAGGAAATGGTAAGTTAATTTTCAAGCACACAAACACATTTTGAGTATTTTAGATAATATTTCACTTTTTTAAGCATTAATTTTCTCATTTCATTCTTCCAGTGTTCACTTGGCAAGAAGAGTGCTTCAGTTAGAAAAACAAAACTCGTTGATTTTAAAAGACCTGGAACATCAAAAGAACCAAGTAACACAGCTTTCCCAAGAGGTAAATAACTTAAACAAAAGAAACATGTATAAAAAATCACAATGTTCATTTCAATTCTTTGTAACTCCTGTGCTTATTTTCTGAGCAGTTTTAAAATAAGCTGTTTGCTAGTACAAAATGATTTCACAATTTATAAAACTAACTGAATGTTATGGTCTTATAAAACAAGTTACAGTATATGGCAAAACTAAGAACAAAAGGAAGATTAAATGCCCAGACTAAATGCAGACTAGACAGGCAAAGCTTTGATTCTGAGAATATCAACTGGCAAAACAAGTTTGACAAATTTTGGTGACATTTTACTTTAAGTTTTTCACTAATGCATAGTTTTTAAAATAGATTTGCTTTTTACCTCTGTGTTTGATGAAAAATCTCTTATCTACTAAACACACTTAACTTCGTATACACTTAGAAATCAGGTTCAGGCCAGGTGGCTCATGCCTGTAATCTCAATACTTTGGGAGGCCAAGGGTGGAGGATTGCTTCAGCCCAGGAGTTCAAAGCTATGGTCAACTATGATCATGCCATTGCACTACAGCCTACGCAACAGTGACCCTGTCTCGAGGAAGAAAAAGAAAATCAAGTTCATACTTCTTATTTTCCTTAGCCTTGTATTATGTCATTTAAAGACTATACAAACATATAACATAGCATTTTTAAGTTTAAATCAGCATCTGATTATATTTTTCTGCATTTTTGAAGTTCAAGTCATCAAACAATTAAAACCAAATGTACCACCTCACTAGCGTTCCTTTTATTTCTAGAGTTTCAGCGTAACAAATTTTTCTGTTAATGTTTTAAAACTTTTAAAAGCTATTTATCTTATAATAAAAGATTTTTAAAGATATTTATTAAATACTACTAATATATACTATATATTCTTTGTTTGTTTTCTGAAGGGCCTGCTCATATTTATCTCTCTCTCTCTCTTTTTTTTTTATTTTTTTTTGAGACAGTGTCTCACTCTGTTGCCCAGTTTGGAGTGACATGATCATAGCTCACTATAACCTCCAACTCCAGTTCTCAAATGTTCCTCCCACCTCAGCCTCCCCAATAGCTGGGACTACAGATGCAAGCCACCATGTCCAGCTAATTTTTTTTTTTAAATAGACAGCATCTTGCTATGTTACCCAGGCTGGTCTTGAACTCCTGGCCCCTAGCCATCCTCCCACCTCAGCCTCCCAAAGTGCTGAGATTACAGGTGTGAACCAATGCACCTGGCCCATATTTATCTTTACAGTATCTTCTATTAAAGCACTTTTAATATTATAACATTAGGAGGATCTTTATTCTCAAATTTCAAAAGACCAGAAATAGTTCATATTACTGCAGTGCCTACCACATAGTTAATGCTCAGTGTGGACACAGTGGTGTGTTGGTAAATGTTAATAACCAACTTTCCAAGAGGAGTATGAGAAAGGGCTCTGATTTATAGCATTTACTTATATCTGTAGTATAAATATTGCCACCATGACTAACATCAAGCTGCCAACATAATGTTACTGAACACAGAGCAGGGAAAAGAGGCTGACCAGTACACCATTACATGATGTTCACACCATATAGATACAATAGATGTATTAATACATAAACTCAAGAGCATAAATGATAGCAAAATAATTAAAAATTGATGGTTTTTTCCCTTTGTTTTT